CCAACATTTCATCAACTCAAAACAAGGTCAAAGATATATCAACATTCATCATCTGACCACATGCATGCATCATCTGAAGACCAAATGTCATCTCTGTCAAATGCTAGGGCTGATGAATCTTTCCAAATGATCAATCTCTATGATCTTGTGTTGGATGTTGCATCTTTATCCAATGCTCCTCCAACGTCTCATAATTAGGGGTGTTCAAATCCAAACCAATCCAAATAAAAAATTGAAAATCGATCCCAAAAACCGCAAAAAATTGAAAATTGTTGAATGTGTTTGGATGTCATTTTGTGAAAACCGGTCAATTTAGATTGGATTTCAGATTAATTTTTCAAAACTGATTCAAATCAAACCGAACCGCATACATATATTTTTATACTTATTTACTTTTTATTAGTATGATATGTTACGTGAATTTATTATTAGATGATAATAATTTTTTAAATAATATTTATTAGCTTGGTATAATCTATTAATTTTTATTATTTCATCCATAATCGATCACTCTCGTATTGTAATATTAACTTGTAATATACTATATATTATATATTATATCAAATCTATGATTTATTAGTAGTTTTATAATATTAATAAAAATATAATGTGTAATTTGGTTATCCAAAAATTGGTCCAAATTAAACTGCATTAAATTGGATCGGATTGGATTTGATTTTTTAATATATCATCCAAAACTGAATTGAACCGCAAGTAAATTTATCTTTGGATCAGATGAGTTTTTACCTTAAAACTGATCCAAACCAAATCTCAAACACCCCTACTCATAATGAAGGAAGGTCGTTTGCTACTAAGAATGTCAAGACTTCTGGTAAGTCATCTTTTTCTCCCATTAAGTCTGATAGGGAGTCTAGGATAAATAAGCCAAAGAGGATGAATCCATCTGGATCATCCACTATTTATGAGAATCTTTCTAAACCTAGAAGGAATGTTGTTGATAAGAACCTTAGGAAGTTTGTTACAACTTTGTTGGAGAAAGTTAGTTCAAATGTTGGGCATGATGTTCAAACACCTTTTCCAAAAGATGCTAGCCCTAATGGAAATACCAGTGGGAAATTGTTGATACTGGTTCTAAACATGTTGATCGTGAGAGAAGGAGTGAGAAGAAGGTTAATGTTGTTATTAATGATAATGAACTATCATCTGATGAGGAACCCATTACCAGACACTTGGCTCCTGAAATAGCCAAGAGACTTCAAAGAAGAAGAGGAAAGGCTATGATGTTTGAAGATTCTCCTTCTAATGAGATCAAAGGAAAATCTGGTGATGTGAAAAGCACTTCCTCTGAAAGTGTCAAAGGAAAATCTCATGTTGGTCCTACTAAATCGTGGAGTAAAGTTGTTGTCCCTTCTAGAAAGAGAAAAGTTTTGAGTTCAAGTGACTCTAAATTTAATATTTAAGATGATGTCTAGGACATCATTCCCATCAAGAGGTTTGCTTCTAAGAAGGCTTGTGCTGATGCTCATAAGATTTCTATGGACAAGGTGATTTTTCATTCTAAGGAGAATGTTGATAAATGGCAGTATGTTGTGCAAAGGAGGTTAGCCTTGGAAAGGGAATTGGGAAAGGATTTTCAAAATTTTAAGGATGTTTTGAAGCTTATAAAGGTGTCTGGCTTGATGAAGAATGTCATAAAATTTGTTCCTTGCTATGAAATATTAGTCAAGAAACTTGTGGTGAATGCACCCGATGAATGTGATGATGTGAAAAGTGAAGACTACAGGAAAGTGTATGTCAGGGGAAGGGTTGTGACTTTCTCTCCTGGTGTGATCAACCATTTTCTGGGCAGGTCCGAAGAACCTCAAACTGAATTAGAGATTACAGATGATGAAGTCGGCAAGGAGGTAACTGGTGGGCAAGTGAAGCACTAGCCAAATGAAGGAAAGTTGTCTGCTAGAAAACTCAATGTGAAGTATGTTATTATTCACAGGGTAGATACTATTAGTTGGGTTCCCACAAACCATACCTCTAATATCTATATTGTTCTTTGGAAATTCATCTTTGTTATTGGAAAGGAAAATGTTTTTGACTTTGGTAAGTACATTTTTGATCAAGTTCTGAAGCAAGCATCCTCGTATGTTGTGAAGTTGCCTATATGTTTCCCTTATCTAATATGTGGAAGAGTCCTGAAGCAGTACCTTGGTATCTTATTGGCTATTTATACTATGAAGGAAAGGGTATCTCCTTTGACTCTACACTATAAACTATTTGGTGGTGAATATGTCCCAGACATTATTGTGACATCTTCTCAAGTATTTGGTTCTGTAACTTCTAAGATAGGAATTATTGCTCATCTGAAGGAGACTTGCAGGGCTCTAGATGAAACCATCAGGACTAGCATTGTTAGGAAAATTAAGCTTGAACAGTTGATGAAGGCTTTGATGAAGGAAGAAGAAAATCAGGCCGAATATGTTGTTGTTGTTGCTGACAATGAGGCGTCAGATGGTGAGGAAATTGAAAATGACAATGCTGCTGAGAAGATTGCATTTGATGGTGATAATGATGATGGTGAACAGAGTGCATCTGAGAGTAATGAAACTGATGATGAGAATAGTGCATCTGGTGGTGATGATGTTGATGGAGAGAGAGAGAGAGAGAGAGAGAGAGAGAGAGAGAGAGAGAGAGAGAGAGAGAGAGAGAGAGAGAGAGAGAGAGAGAGAGAGAGAGAGAGAGAGAGAGAGAGAGAGAGAGAGAGAGATGGTCTTATGAGACTTTTGATGATGGTGATGTTGTTGCAGATGCTTGACTATGTTTTTTTGTTTCTTTTCTTTGTTTTGGTTATTTGGTTTTGTAAGGGTTAAATTCCCAGACATATTTTAGCACCTTGTGTGCACATTATGTGTTATTGTGGTTCTTTTGAGTGATATATTTACCTTTGTCATATTCTGGATAAAAGGGAGAGTAGTATAACACTAACCATTAACTATACATGTGCTATTGAAGGGAAGAATTTTAATTATGTGTTGCTGCTATTGAGGGGCGGAATTTTGAAGGGGAGAATTTGCTCTAGTTTGGGTTATTGTGAAGACATATCAGACATGATGTCCTGACATATCTGACATGATGAGAATTTATTTTTCTCAATATTGTTGTGTTTGCAGATTCCACTGACTGGTGCTCTGATGTTTTATTATGCTACTCATATCTTTGATATTTTATTGTGTGAGTTTAATTTATTTTCAAACCTTTCTTTTTCTTAGAATCTGAAGTGTGATTTGTTAATTTGTTTTAGTCAAAATTTGTCAAAGGGGGAGATTGTTAGTTCTCTATTTTTATGATTGACTTTAATTTTGGTAAAACTAATTTGACACCAACATGTTAATAGGATGTTCTAAACTTGCAGAGAGAACATGTTGGACACGATGTCCTATCTATTTTATTTGACATCTTGTATGTTACAGTTATACTCTTGGATTTATTTGGTTTTAACAGATCCTGAATGTTCTTGGAATATTAAGATATTATATTTGGCATCCAAGACTGAGGAATTAGAGATTCTATGTGGATTTAGAATATTAATTTATTTCTCTAAATGTTGATACATTTTAGGAAATACATTATAGAAGTCCTATTTTTATGCAGAAGATTCTACACATTTTCAGCAACTGACCAACTGCGTTTTTGAAGCCCCAGTCTAGTCCACTCAAGGTTATAAAAAGAAGACTACAACCCTAATACATGTGTAAAACGTATTGTGTTGTTATAGTACTCTTTTAGGATTTATGTTCTTGTGAATTATGAGTCTTTCTAATATCATCTTGATATAAGAGTAGGACTGTCTCTTTTGAGTTGTAAGTTTTTTTTATCATTCATAAAGCTTTTGAATGATTTTGTGTCATTGAAGTGTGTCTTCTAAAAAATTTCTAAGTATTAGTGTTTTTTATCACTGTTGTGATTGAAGGTATTTTAGAAGGGTCTCATATCTAGGTGAGTCTTAGGTAAAAGTTAAACACGGGTAGTGATTAAGTGAGTAGATTGTAAACTGAAGATAGTTTGTTGTGGGTCTATAAACTGATACTATTTAGTGGATTTTGTCCCTGACTTGGTAGCCCCTATAGTAGATGTTGTTGTACATCAAACTTGATTAACAACTATGCGTGTTATTTACTTTCTACACTATTAACTATGTTTTAATTTGTTCATTGTGTTTTGATCAGATATCAGTGTCTTGACATCTCTTAGAACATCTGATATCTGCATACCAAAATTTCAAGTGAACTTTCTCAAAGTTCTTGAGTCAAACAATGTTAGAGGAAATAAAATGAGAAACATGTTTTGGAACAAATTTTGATATCAAAATCATCTATTGTCTCCCCCTTTGTTAGAATTCAAAAAAAATTAGAGAAAGTAAAAAAAATTCATTAACCAAAGACCAAGATACAACAGATTTTAGAAACAAAAAGAAAAACACTTTAAGTTCTAAAAGAAAGGAAAAATAAATGGTCAGGGGATTTGGTGGTGGATGAGGAGGAAGCATCCTTGCTATGAAGTCCTTCATCAAGTTTAAGAGGGCAGAATGTTCTTCAGTCCTTTGATCTTGCTTATCCAAACGTTGTAAAATGACGGTATTTATCTTCTTCAACACTTCCAAAGTATCCATCAGCCCATGTGGTATCTCTACCGCAGCAACAGTCTTCACAATCCCATAAGGGGTACCTTCTTGAGAAGTCGACTTCTCAAATACAACCATCTCAAAAACAGTAGCATTTGTAGGTTGTTCATCCATTATAGAACCATGATCTTTTTCTGGAATGACTACTTCAACAGAAGGAAAGCAGAGAGGAATAGGAGAAGGTGCCTTAGCAGCAAATATAGCCTCACGCTTCTTCCTTGCTTCTTGGTTACAGAAGACTTCAATGATGTTGAAGTTAACATTCATCCATCTTCTGAAACCAAGCCAGATAGTAGAGGTTTGTTCAAGATCTATGCGGTCATAAGTGCTCTCTACAGCATAGTGCAGTGTGTCCAAAGCACTATACTCAAACTGATATAAGAATTTATCAAGGGAGTTTAGACGAACATATGTTCTATGAAGAAAAGAGTTAGAAGTGGTGTAGTAAGGCTTGGGGGTTTTACCTGGAAAGGCAATAATTTTAGGTTGTCCGACAATATTTAGAGGGTTAAGGAAGGTTGATATAGAGGAATTCTTAGCTGACATAGAGTTATGAAATTCTGTAACAATATTAAAAAATTAAGATACAGTAACAGGTGCATCTGAGACATGCTGAGATGGGTTGAGAAGGGTTTCTAAAGAAGTGTCTCCAAGTGTCTTCAGAAATGTTTGATTTAGTGAGAGATGGTTCGATCCGAAAAGTAGTGGCTTATGAGATATTTGGTTTTTGTTGGTTTAGCACAACTATTGTTCCAGATGTTGAGACAAAAGAAGGTGTAGAGTGCATAATAGAGTGCCTCATCAATTTGCCTTGAGAAATAGCTTAAAAAATATATAGATAAATGTATCTCCGGACGTTAAAAGCAATTAGGAGTTTTTACAATGGTGGAGGACCAAGTATAAAGGAGAAACTTTAATTTAATAGTCAAATTACATGAAGTGGTCAAGTGAATGCTAAAAGTAACCTTTAATTTAATACTACATGGAGTGAGCAAGTCTTTCCTATTTTAGACTTCATCACCTTGATTTTTTCTATAAAAAAAACTATATAGTTTCATCTAAACCCCCTACCTAAATCCATCTAGATTCACCTAGAATTCGCCCAATAGATTAATATAACCTAATAAAAAATTGTCCCGATGGCTCATTGAATTTGGGTACCACTCAATCGTTCGCCCTTCACTAAAACTCATTGACCACTTCACCCAACTATTAGGTTAAGATAGAAACATGAAAAACTATAATTGGTATAACTGAAATAGGATGCATTATTTTAATGATACACAACAATGCAGAACTTACTAGCTGAAATTAGAAAATGGCCCGGGAGGGAAGGATGGACGGAAGATCCTGATCATATCCATCCTTCCTCCTTTGTATACTACGCGCTCAACTGCTATTAAAATGAGAAATGTTAGTGAAAGATCTTACTAAAATAAAACACTGGGCCTTTCCCAAGTGACAATGGGTTTACACATTCAGAAGAAATTCCTTATTTTCATATTTAAAAATGAAAAACTCAACATTAAATATGAAGAAATGCAAAGCTGCTTCCAAAGTGTATTACCATTGAATCATATTCCCAACCTCCATTTATATCCACAAGTTCAGTAAAGAAAATTACAATACCAATACATAGAGTTGATTAGTTTACACTTCACTGTCAATAGACTGAGATCTATGTGGGCTTGAGCTAATAATCATGTTTCGATCCATCGTTGATTTCTTAAATCTCACACAGCATGTTCGGCAAATCCGGAACTACACATAGAAAAGGGAGGAAAATTAAGTGATGCTTTTTAAGAAAAGCCAACAGCAATGTCATAATGGTCTTGTATATATAGTACAGGCTAACAAGCAGTTGAAGACATGTTGATGCACACAATATAGACTATGCTACCAGAAGCCAAGTAAACCATAACAAATTTTATAATTACCATTTGCAGTTATAAACTGCACGTCTTCGACTACCATCGTAGCCATAGGTAGTTGATTATACAAATAATGTCGAGAGCCAGAGCCAGCTTGAACACCTTTAGCAATGCCTGAAAGTTCGTGCTTTTCCACTTCTGCCTTGGCTTTGCCATGCCCAAAATTGAGAAAGATAGTAACCCCGATAAATTCAAATCCCAAATGTCCTGTTGTATATATCCCCAGAATTTGGCATCTGGTATTTTGAATCATCATATCCTCTATAAAACTTACTAAACTCGGGTCTTTCATTTCTCAAAAGCTCAGCCATACCCATCCTATTTCCATTCTGCATTTCATTCCACCCATCCCAATTGCCATTTGACAAGACAGCATTTCTAGACTGCTGGAGAGACAGTTGAGGAAATGTTGCCAGATTACTGACATGTGATTGATCTATCCGTGAAGAAATTCCATAAGGATCACCAAGCTGAGAAAATGTGTTCCCAATTTCCGAAAATCGATGGTTATGTTGAGGTGGGAGAGATCTTTGCATCAATAACTGAAGCCTGGCTTCGTTCTCAAGGTAATTTAATTGTGGGGTGTAATTGGATTGCATGTCTAGTGTTGGACTGTTTAGCACACCTTGAAGCCTCCCCTTACCAACTGCCAAAATAGCCGGATCCATAAACTCAATGTCTCCTGCACCACCAAAATTTCCAGTTGATGGTGTCTGATAAGAATTTCTCCATAACAAAGGGTCAAGCAAGGAATTCCCTATCAAAAGGAAAACAGTCATTAAATTTCAAACAATATGTAGGAAGTAGGTGCAAGCCGAACAAAGCTATAACTAACCAGAAATTGAGTCAAAAGTCTGCCCCATTCTCTCATGAGAAGAAAAACCAGGAGGTGGTGGCCTGCTTGGAACTGAAAATCCTGGGGGTGCTGAAATTTGTGGTTTTGAGTTAGCTGAAAACGATAATAGAGGAAGATCATTGCATGTCTTTACAAAGATAAGAGGAGCTTGGAAGCTGTTATATCAATTTCAACTTGGTGACATTATCATAATCAGTAATCTATTCTACTTTAAATCACCGCAAAGTTGACAGGGCGGGTTTATCCAGAAATTCAAAAGTAAATCCAGACCACTTGACCATTTTACTTTTTTCAGTGGTGTACAAATATATTAATGGAATTTTATTCTCTCAGCCATGACAAAAACACAACTCTAGCAGCTCTAGGAGCACTATTAGCCTTTATTCCTTCTGGAACACACTTATATTTATAAGCATACTAGCTAACATGTATTTTTTCAGGAATATACTATAATAGTGGGTTTGGGCTCTCTAGATTCCCAATACCGGTAAAAAGTTCTACTTCTAGCAAATTCCACCAAAAGTAGATACTTTTGACAGTTCAGATTTATCAAAAAGAAGAACTCCAAGCCAAAATTGGCATAAGACAACATCACTACTAAATCAGAAAAAGAAACCAATGTTAAGAAATGCTACATAAATAGAAAGAGCGACTAGTTTATGTAAGCTATTAATACTCACCAGAAAGCTTATTGGAAGAAGCAACAAACTGACCACTGCCTAGATTTTCAGATTCCTCAATGTTATTGGCGGGAAAGCCATATGCAATACCCACCTTGTCCAAAGACATGTCTGTTGTTTCCACAAAATCTTGGAAGAGTGAGCGGCTTCTGAGTAATTGTTGGTTGGCACCATGAGATGGATTCATATCAAAGGCTTGGTTTTTGGATTCCTCTTGTCTTGCAAAAGAAAATCTTGATTGATTGGTTTGAACATTCCAAGAACTAGATTTCTTTAGAGGACCATTCTGATTTTCGGTGCTGTCACTTAACAGCTTCGCCAAATCATCCCAGGCATCAAACTCCATGGACAATATATTTGAAATTATACTACTCTCACCATTATCTGTTGTAGCAGCATCATTTCCTATATTAACTGTTTTACTCATTAATTTTCCAATGTGATGATCATTCCTTTCATCATGCAGCAATGAGCTGGTGCTGTCCAATTTCTCAGAATAGCCATTGCATAATGCTTTAGATTCATGTAATTTTGGTTCATACCCAACCTCATTAACTGTGGCTAAAGAACCAGCATTAACAACAGTACAAGGTTCACCATGCTGCAGAGGATGAGGATTATTATGATTTGTGACGTGAGGGAAACAAGACCTAGGCAAATAAGAATGACTAACGACTTCTGGATCCTTAAGTCTCTGACTATCAAAAGATGTCACATCATCTTCTACTTCAGCATAACCAGATGCTAGCTCAGATTGAGAATCCAATTTTAAATCATATTGTTCTTTTGATTTACAGACCTCGCTATCTGATATAGAGGCTTTATTAGCAGCATTTGAATTTATCACATTTCTGAATTTATCAATATGTTCTGATCCTTGAGATTGCATAGACTTAGCCAGTACATAATCAAGAGGTGAGCTGCTGGGTCTGGTTACGTTGTAATGTTCATTTCGGGCATTTCTATCAAGGTCAACAGAGGACAGCCCATATGACAAATTTTGAACCTCTTCATTGGTAGCAGTAACTGCTTCGTCGGGACAAAAGCTGTCATTTGAATTTGTTTTGATGTCAATAGACTTTGTTGTGTTTAATGCTGTACAACTACCTCTGGCTAATGGTATAGAAGACAACTGGGTGTTTGAATTCACAGGCGCAAGAGAAACATCAGAAGCCAAAGTTTTTTCACTTGCACTCGCAAGGACATTCATAGTGTTATTTTTTTCTCCAGGCACTATATTATGACGCCCATCACTTGACACTTGCCTCTTTATTGACTCACTATGCAGTGAAACTTGAGTGGTGCTGCTGATGGAATCAGGCTTGGGCTTGGACAGTCCAGTAGGACATGATAGACTACCAGCAGCTGGCTGACAATTTGTAGCCCGCAAACCCCTAGTAACACAGATTCAAATGTTAATTAACTTCAAATAATCTTAAGATTCAACATTCGAATCCAAATCCAACACTATACCATGCAGCAGGGGGAACCATAAGCTTTGCAGGACTTCCATTAGGAGGCGAACCTCTTACAGTGCAAACAGAGTTCTGCTCCATAATCAAAATAAAAAGTTAGTAACTACATAGCTGCAAAGTGCATTTAGCAGCATAGTCAATCTGGACAAAGAGCAACTAAATAATGAGCCAGCACAGGGAAACAAAGCAGTAAAAGCCAACGCCCAAAATAAAAGCAATATAATAAAAAAAGAGTTAAAGGTAGAACGAAAAGAAACACTTACACTAGAAGTATTTTTCACAGTGGGTTTCTCTGAAGTGTTGCTCGTGCAATCATCCAACGGAGGAGGCAATACATTCCCTGACCGCCGTTCCATATTGGTTGCAGCACCAGTAATATGTTGAACATGACTTCTTAAAAAAAACAAAGTGACTAAATCATTATAGGCACAAATTAGGGTAACTTAGTTTATGCAATCTGAACTCGCTTTAATCCATTTTAAAAATAAACGATGTCATTAATCAGCTATCAAAAAAACTCAATCTTGCCAATTGCCCTTTCAGATTCCAAACAATTACCCATGGTGAACATGATATTCACAAATTAAACATTTCAGCTATCCACAAATAGCTTAGTATCACAGAACGGTAAGATAGATTCGTCATTGTTAGTTAAAAATTAAATGCTGATATGAAATGCTTACATGACAAGGAACATGAACCAATTACAACATAGTATGGTTTTATTTTTAAATCAAAACATAATATGATTTGCATCAAAGCTCATATAATAGCAATACCTAGTGTATGCTGAAACTATTTCATCTTTTGTGAAACTGTCTTCTTGAGAGCCAATTTCATGAAGATATACACAATCCGGATTGTTGCAGGGCTGTTCATCAAGATTTTTCCACAATTAAAAGCTTAACTAATCAAGGAAAAGGTAAAAATCTTTGTAGGAATTAGTATTTTTCAAACCATGTTTCTGAGCCAAGCATGACAATATTTAGTTGTTCCAAAACAAGCCCTGAAATGTAAAAACCAATAGCATAAGAAACTGATAAGCAAGAACCCCGGGGTCAATCATCTCATGTGCAAAAGAAAATGGCCTCAACAAGTGCAAGGATTGATACCTTAAAGGTCTGCTCTCCAAAACAAATCCATGTACATTTTGAATACATCGAACTGCTTCTTCTTCCTTTGAATAAGTAATATATCTGAAACCAAATATCCTTGCTTTAAGAGCTGCAACTTTTAATAAAATTATAATGGATGGAAATGTTAAATATTAATTAATGACCAATCAAGACGAGATATAATTACAAATACAGTTTTCAGAGAGAAAATTGGGTAGCTCCCAAGCCAAAATCATGTCCAAATTGATTGAATATGTATGGAGAAGAGAAAACCCCATAGAAGCACTAGTAAGGAGGATTGACAGCATGGAGAATAGTCTAATAGATTGAACTAATAAGTAGAGCGAGAACAAAAAATACTACAGGCCAAACTATTAAGGGAGATTTAGAGTTGAAAAGTATATTGACGAGCTTCAAAACATGATAGGGAATTATGATGACAATCCATGTAGATTGACTTACTGTCAAAGTGATCTCCAATCCTTAAATTAGATTTTGACTTTTTGATGGACAATGGTCATAGGTCCTTCATTACTGAAGTCTACTAGGTGTTTCTAGAATCAGCTCAGACATACTACTCAGTCCAACCGGTGGTCTATGATGCATAAGTACGATTATGGTATCTACATGGCATTTTTTTTTAAATAAAGGTAAGGGCACTTCAATAAGAAAAAAGATTTTATCTATAAAATGAATCAAGAAAGAACTAAATTGTTCAATTTTCATTAAAACATCAAGATAAAAATTTAAAAAGTCAATATCTGTGTTATGTTACAATTAACAAAAAAAAACTAAAATGCATAGATAATAGTATAACTATATGAAAAAACGAAAAATTTTACTCGAAACGGAATAATGAAAAAACAGGAAGTACCACGAATATGGTACGTGTACCGGTACCGGGTGCATATCCGGTACGGGCACTTCACCATTTTAGAAATACCCATATGCTTCAGAGCCGGTGGGACTCTTAACATTTTTCAGAAATCAATCAAGAGAAAAAATCACAGAAGAGGAGAGAAAAGAATGTTTGGACTGTGACTGCAAATAAGAAGACGCCTTGAGGGTTGCAGATGGTAGTTTTCATATTATCTTTTTAGAATTCAATTATGTAATTTGGCTTGGTTGAGGGTTCTCTTTGAGCCATACATCACTAGACAACAAGGAATTCAAGCGTGTTTGTGGTTTATATGAGGCTAAGCAAAAAAAAAATTAGACATAAAGTAAAATAATAAAAAAAACGTCCTCTTCAAAATAAACACTTCTATTAAACCAACAAATTATGAACTACATCTCTTCTGACTAACATATATATCCAATATAAACTTTTATACATTTATAAAATAATGCGCTGTGATTAATCCAGTGGTCCATTAGTTCAATCAGTGATCCACTGACTCAATACACCGATTGAGTCAATAACCGGTCTGAGTCTGATAACATTATAAACTAGCACTAGATTGTGGTGAGTTTTAGAGAGGTTTAACTAAAGATTTTGGATCCAATAGAGTAGTGCCACTGACTTTCAGGAGTGGCCAAGAGCATCTGCCATGCTCACCATAGTGGCGGCCATAGGTGTTATGACAATCATGCAAATACCACTAAGAAAGACAAGCTGGGCCACAAATTTGAAAAGAACACAAACTTACACACTACATGTGCTGTTAGGAAACTGCTGAACAATACCAGCTGCTGTCCGAGACATCGACACTTTTAAGACCTTCCCATACTGACCAAAATACTCTCGCCGCTGGAGAAGCTGCATGAATATTGATAACATTTTAAAACTGTCCACCAAGAACAATGGGAAAAATTGAAAGGCATGGGAGTGTAAGGTGGAATTTTATGCTATTTTTTTTAATTGAAGAAATGCAAGAGATGGGAACTATTGGAAGTAGATGAAGTCAAAATATTACATCTTCATCAGCCAGGTCAAGAGGCAACCCAACTATGTAAACAAGATTCCTCCTAATAACTCGCACATCATTGAGCTGCTTCCGTCCTTCAAAAGATTTAGACTTCGCTTTTTGGCTCTTCATCTTTCTTTCCATATGAACTTCAGCCACCAATCTAAACAAAGATATTGTTAGCAAGATACAATTACAAAAATGCCCAAGCATTTAAGTATTTTTTTAAAAATGCTTCTGACTAGCTCAATCTAAGAAACTGAGAAGAGTCTAAGGCCTGATTGGCTTGCATATTATGTTCTCAATTTTAATCACAAAAAAAACACCATGCTTTCACTTTACCGTTTTCAAAGTTTTGAACAGATAATAGCTAAACAAATGAAAAGAAAAAATTAATACAACATGTTTTATAAACCAAACAGGCCCATAATAACTAAGATCTACCTTGTTCTATCTGAAACATAACAAGTACACTTACGAGTTCCAAATCTTAATATATAACATATAGTATTATAACTTAAAAAGTTTATATGATATGAAAGATAGTTAGAAAATGCCTGCACACTTAAATAAAAAGGGGAGGAAGGGGATGTGGAAAGAATAAACATTTCAAGCCTACAAAATGCACTGTTAAAAGAACAACCTCTCACAGTTTGCAGCCATCCCGACAATCTTTTCCTTATCATATGGAGAACGACATGCAGGGCACCGTCCCTCTGTGTTGTCCTTCTCAGCCATGTCCATTATGTGATGCCAACACCAGACGCAAATCTACAGTCGATTAAAGAAACAGTTGGCTTTCAACATTGTTTGAATTCATGATTATAAAAAACAAGCATGTCTCAGAAAACAAAAACACACAACAGAGAGAACGAAGTAGCACATATTCTAATAGTTTATTTTATAAGCTAAAAAAATTATTAGAACGCCAAAATATTTGCACATTGAGTGCCTCAACAACAGATAACAAAAAAAGAGAAAATTGGCCCCTGCCTTAACTGCGAGAACATAAAATTGTTTCAAAACGAAGTAACCCCTAAATGTCCTATGCGATTATTGTTCCATAATGAAACCGGGAATATGAATACAGGCGACTTTGTGGCTTCTCACTTAGCCAACTCCAAGGTTTCAGCTGGGCTAACTCTAGAATGTCTTTTGATTTTGAGCCCACCAACGATAGATGAGTAGTAAGGATTGAAGAGTGTCAAATGTCAAACCATCAATAGATAAAAATATGCATAGACCAACAAACCAAGTGACCCAACTTCTAAAGAATTTTATATGAACTTAAAAAACACAACATCAATCAGATTGTTACCCGCAATAAAAAGAACATAGAAAAAGAATAAAACCTGGTAGCCACATTTGCATGGTCTCAATTGCTGATCAGTCAAATCCATCTCTTCAGCACAGAGAGGACAAGTCCTTTCTCCTTCATCACTCATGATTGCCCTGGATGAAAATTCAGCAGACCGGAAAACAAATATCATCACTATGTGAGCAGGGAACATTATAAACAATATAAACCGCAAACTTTATCCAAAATTTATAACTTCTAAGTTTTTGATAGAAAAGCACAAGGAAAATTCCTACAATCACACCAGGAACCGGATAACAATTACGATATTTATAATAATCATCGACCTCTTTAACGCAACAAACTAATAAACGTTAAACTGTGCCCCAGTCACTTTAAGATATACAGTAAGAAAATCAGGAAAAATCCATCTATGAAGCACAGACACCCCAAAAATGACTCTGACAATGACGCGGCGACACACGTAATAATTTAAAAATAATAATAAATTAAACTTAATCACAAGTGTCGGTGCAGGTTTCCAATACCAACACGAACATGCAGAGGTGTCGGTGCTACATAGAAATCCATAGATTATGCAAAATAATGGCACCAGGGGAGTAAACTAACTACAGCTTGAACCCATAGACTCACACTAAAAAATTATAATTATTAAAAATAAATCAATAATTAAATAGATTACAGTATGCCACATAGATCAGCTAAATACTAATCAGAGTATAGAATTCCACATAAAAAGGGGAATAAATTGAAAATCGAATACCTAATTACAAAGTTTCAAGACTAAACAGAATCTGAATCATACAAAATCCGATAGAAATCGCTGGATTATGAATTAAATCATCAAAAACAACACTAAAACAGCTGAATTACGAGCTAATAACCGATCGATGAAATCAAAATCAAAAACCAATCGACGAATCAATTAGGGATCTATGAAATTAGGATTGAATCGAGAAAAATAGGTCATGGATAAGAAGTGGATTTACTTACAGTGGTGAGATCGGGAAGAATACGAAACTGTGAGGCGGAGATTGTTCGAGAAGCGGAAGATTGCGAAAACACGAGCAAAGGGTAAGAGGCAGAAAATGCACAATGTGACGTCTTAAAAAGAGAGAGAAGAGAGAAGGCTTTGTTTGGATGCAACTTTTTGGCTGCTGCTTCTCCCTCTCTAAACGTCGTTGTCATGCAAAATTACGCTTATTGTCCTTTCGGTTTGGTTTAATTACAATGACTACCCTTCGTTTTTCTCTCTTTGACTCTATTTTGTTTTACTTTATTTGTTATTAAAAAATACTAATAGCATTTTATTGCCCATTTAATAAAAATTAGGTTATGGATTAGAATTGGTTTTATCGCCTCTTAACTCCGAACGCACTATTTCATCCATGATTTTATATTAATAACTTCGTGGATTAGTTTAATTTTTATTTAATTTTTTATTTATTTTCAAAAATTCACATGGATTAATTTATTTTTATAAAATATTTACTTTTTATTTTTTGCAAAATATATATTAATTTTTTTATAGAATATTTATTAATTAAGAATTTTCTTTAACTTTTTTATATTACGAAATTAATCGAACAAAATTTTTTATTGAAACATTTGTACTTATGGTTCATATACTCTCAACATGTTTTCAACTTGATAGCTCATATGTGTATGTTGTTTATTTAAAAATCGATATGGGACTTTAATGTTCCACTACAATAGAGAGTACACTAGCTTGTTTTATATGGCATTGTGCTCACTGACAACCACATCAATTATTATGCAATATGTTATTTCATAAAATAATTTGTTCGATGAGTGTGAGATGTTAGAATTCCATGTTATTGTTTTTGGTTGTATGAGTTATATTGAGAAGATAAACAAATACCGAGTTGGAAAAAGTGTTGATAAACCAAAACATCAAGGAATATTTTTCAACTAGTTTTTTTCATATTCTATGTTGTTTTTTGTGTTGCATTCGCTGGTGTTATTTACACCGAGGATATCAAGTTAATTCAAACTTTAATATCCTAGAACTTGTTGGGGTAAATGGAATAGTGAAGTTAATCATGGAACTTTTATGTTTATAGATGCAATGAGAAGAACTAGAGATTTCTTTAACTTACTATAATATTTCAAAAAGCATGAGATTCATCGTGGGGCATTCGCACAAAGGAGCAAGCGATCCTTTATTTATATCAAAAAATACTTTCCATTCTGATTCTACCTTTATGATTTATATGGGCTTGTCAACATCTCCTTCGTATTCTCAAAAGCTAATGCATCATGATGATGGTTTGCTCATTCTATTGGTGTGTGAGATACTTTTAGTGAGGAGGGAAAGAGATAGGGAATAAGGAAATAAAGATTGATATCATTGAATTGTATTGTACAAACTGAATTACAAACTATATTTATTTATATACAACAAACGTGTACACTAAGTAGACTAACAAACCCTAATTGGACTTGGGCTTGGATTACTAACTTGGATTATATCTTATATCTCAACATACGCCCATATAATCAAAGTCATTGAATATACGTTAATCATAGTCAATCTAGACTATTCTTAATTTCTTTCTCAAATTCAGGAATCTGTTGATCTTCAATCATTTGGTGAAAATGTCGGTCAATTGTGCTTCACTTGAGCAATGTCCTACTTTAAGTTCACATTGATTTACCTTTTCCCTTAAGAATTGAAATCTAGTTTCGATGTGCTTACTCCTTCCATGTAAATCTAGATTTTTTGCAAGATTGATGATTGACTTATTGTCGATCTACAGCATCAGAGATTTCTCCACTTCGACCTCGATCTCTTTCAACACGTATATGATCTAAATTGTTTGATATGCAGCATAGGATCCTGCTATATAGTCAGCCTCACACGATGACAATATCACCACGGGTTACTTTTTCAAGCACCATGAGATTGGGGAACCAAAGACTTGAAAGAAATAACCATTTGTGTTTCTTTGATCTTCCTAATCTCCACACCAATCAGCATCTGAATAACAAGTAATTGTTGTTTCTTTGCTTTCAGAATCTCGTTGAAATATAACTATATAGTTTATCGATTCTTTTAAGTATCTCAGGATTATTCTTATAGCCTTCATGTGTGACACTCTTGGTTCACTCATGTATCTGCTTGATAATCCGACTGCAAAACCTATATCAGATCATTTGTTGCACATACCTCAGAGATACAAGTATTTATTTAAACAAAGTTACATCAATATTGTCTTCTTCTCCATACTTCTCCAACTTTAAATTTGGTTCAACATGCGAAGATCAAGAGTTGAACCATCCATCTTGAATCTCTTGAGTATCTCTTTGATATACTTCCTTTGATGCAACACCATACCTTGCTTCGACATTCGAAATTTCGTGCCTAGAAAATAAGACAATTTCCTAGATCCGACATTTCAAATTCTCTCATCACTAGCTCTTTAAACTTCGACAAGTTCTCCAAGTTATTTTCAGTTACCAACAAGTCATCGATATATAAGCAGATGATTGTTATATCGTGTGCTACAACTTGAACATAGACACCATACTCAAATTTGCATTTGATGAATCCCAATTCGACTAAGTATGAGTTGATCTTCTTGTTCCATGATCTAGGTGCATGTTTGAGGCCATAGAGCCCTTTGTGCAACTTATACCCCTTACTTGATTCCTCTTGAATCACGAACCCTGAAGGTTGTGTGACATATACCTCTTTATCTAAGGGACCATTCATAAATGTTCATTTCACATCTAAGTGAAATATCAACCAGCATTTCTTGCATTGCTAAGGCTACCACTAGTCGAACATTCTTCAATCTTGCTATTTTACAAATATTTTTGAGTAGTCGGGTCATGTTATCTGAAGAAATCATTGATCTACCATTCACTATCGACCCATCAGTAGTGTGCTTTAACTTGGACACCCACTTCACTTTGATAGGTTTGTATGTGATGGCAATTCGCATAACTCCGATGTGTTGTTTCTTTCAATTTCATATAACTATTAAGCCATATTATATTGCCATTGTTTATTCTTTAAAGCCTCGCTATAGTTAATTTGTTCAGCATCTGCAAGTAAAGCAAAATGAACTAATTATTCATCTAGTGTGACTTCATCATTATCAATCACTTTATAATCTTGAAGTCTTGTTGGACGAACTCTAGTTCTTTGAGGTCTTTGACTTGTGTTAGCCACACCCTCTTTGACTTTGACTGTGTAGAGAATGTCAGCAACTGCTTCGACTTCGACTGGAATGTATTTAATTGCTTCAACTTTGACTTTATTAGTTTCTTCGTCGAAGCCATAGCTCATCAATGGCTTATTAACTTCGTCACCTGAATTCTAATCTCATGCAGAATTTTCATCAATTACAATATATCGACTTATCACGATCCTCTCTTTAACTAGATTAAATAGCTGGTATGCACCAGATTCGTGATATCCTACCATAATCATAGATTCACTCTTGACATCAAGCTTCCTTTTTCTCGCATTAGGAACATGCTTGTAACACAAAGAGACAAACACCTTCATACGACTCACTAATGGTTGTTTACCACTCCACACTTCTTTGAGAACGTTATTTTTCAACTTCTTGGTAAGGCACCTATTCAAAATATAAACTGCAGTCAAAACAACTTCGCCCTATAAGGATTTTGGCAAATTCTTCTACTTCAGCATGCATCTTGCCATATCCAATATGGTTCAATTTCTTATTTTTGAAATTCCATTATTTTGAGGCATGTAATGAAAATTTACCTCATGATTGACACCATGCTCTGCACAAAACTCTTTGAATATCTTGGATGTGTAATCGCCACCTTCATTTATTTGTAAAACCTTGATCTTCTTCTCATTCTCATTTTTTATTAGTATCTTAAATCTCTTAAATATTTTGAATACTTCGTCCTTTTGCTTGATCACATAGATCTAGAGCTTTCGACTATACTCATCGACAAATGAAACAAAATATCTATTTCCACCAATGGTATGTTCCTCAAAAGGGCCACTACATCCGAGTGTACAACTTCAAGTATGCAGGAGGATCTCATTGGCATAGTCGAAACGAAAGAATTTTTAGATCGCTTTCTGACTAAACAACCTTCATAGAGTTTATAAAACAA